CACTAGTGCGGAGGTGCGTAATGAGGTCAGCGACAGTGGGAAAGGCGGCAAGGTCAGGGAAGAGGAAGGGGAGCATGAGGCGGCTCAGTGCAGCAGTGGCAGGGGAGGAGTAGCGCGCAACTACAGCGTCGTACAAGGTCTGGGCACTCTTGTACTGGCTAAAGTGCGCGCGCTCAGCGGTAGGCAGGTGGCGACGCACAGCAAGACGTGCAGCAGCATCGCGCGTGGCCCACTGTGAGCGAACAGTGGCGTCAGCATCAGCAGCAGGGGCAGGGACGGCACCAGAGGTGAGGTCAAAGAGAGAAAGACCGTCTGCCCTATCGCACTGTAAGAACAGCTGCAGGTCGTCGACCCAGACCTCAAAGTCAATGGCGCGACCCTCAGCGTCAAAAGCTAGGACACTAGGGGTAGCCATGACGACAGACTAGTAGTGCAAGCAGTGCGGGGAGGGGCACGCAGTAGCAGTGGAGCTGTGCTCACCAGACAAGACAGGTCGGGCAGCTCAGCAGCACAGGAACACGGTAACACAGCAGCTGCCGGCCCAGTAGCAACAGCAGCCCCATAGGACCAGCAGCTCGGCTCCCCAGGTGGCTCGGGCGGGTCGTGCGGCTCGGGCGGCTCGGGCGGCTCGGGCGGCTCGGGCGGCTCGGGCGGCTCGGGCACGCAGCGGTACGGGCGACTCGGGCGGCTCCGCTGCTCGGGTGGCTCGCGCAGCTCGGGTGACGCGGGGGCTCACGGGCGGCGCGGGCGTCGTGGCGGGCGGCTCACGGGCGGCTCGCGGGCGGCTCACGGGCGGCTGCACGAGCGGCTGGGGCGACTCACGGGCGGCACGTTGGGCGGCTGCACGGGCGGATGCACGGGCGGCTACACGGGCGGTTGCACGGGCGGCTGCACGGGCGGCTGCACGGGCGGCGCGTCGGGCTGCAGAGGGCGACGCACAGGCGGCCGACAGGCGGCTAGCGGGCGTTGGGCGGCGCGCGGGCGTCGGGTGGCTAGCGGGCGTCGGGCGGCTAGCGGGCGTCGGGCAGCTAGCGGGCGTCGGGCGGCTAGCGGGCGTCGGGCGGCTAGCGCACGGGCAGGTAGCTGACGGGCGGCTCTGGGCGGCGCACAGGCGGCTCACGCGAGCCGCTCACGCTCTGCGTAGGGCAGCGCACGGGGCGCTAGGGCGCTAGGGCGGGCAGCGCGCGGGCGCTAGGGCGCTAGGGCGGGCAGTGGGGCGCGGGCGCTAAGGTGGCGCTCGGGCTGCTACGGCGGGCGGCGCGGTAGCTGCTAGGGCAGAAAAAAAAGATTTCAAGGTAGTGGTGGTGGGCCCTAAGCACAGTTCCCACAGGGGAACCTGCTCGATACCATGAGAAGAAGTGAACGAGACTGGAATGACTATGAATGAAGTGAGTACAAATAGGAAACCCTAATTGGGTTGTACCCCCTATGGGATACCCCACTATAGCCTACACAAATAAGTAAGCTATAATGTTCTGACAATACCCGAAACCCGTTGAGATGAACTAGCCTGTACATTTGCAAATTTTCGAAAGGGAAACCACGTTACTGTAATGCTGCAGTGTGTTATGAGTTGTACTAAGAAGAGTGCGCGAAAGACTTTATAAAAAAGGATGTCGAATACAGAATGACAAGAATGATAAAGAGGCATGCATTTATAGGGTCGAAACCGTGGTAGGCGAGGACCTCGGGACGTGGATGGTTTGGAAGTGTCGCGATTGGTGCGGGGCGACTCGGAAGTGGTTCGGGCCGAAGTGTAGGCCGAACCCAAACTGACGCGAACAGTTCGGGCTGTCCTCGCTAGGAGTAGCCTCTACAGTAATGAATTCACATTCATTACACAGTGAAATATGGATTCAAGCAGGATCGATCTCGGGTACAAGACGCTTCAGGATCGAATACAAACATGTGTGGCGAACCTGTGTTTTGCTTCGCCAGGGTACTCTCAACGAAAACAGTTCTCGCTACTCTTCCAGCTAGTGTTTAAAACCCTAGAAACAAAAAACGCTTTGCCATGCTGACCGAGGGCTTTAATTTCCCCTCCCTTCTAGGTTTTCTGAAGAGTCTCGTCCGCCAGCCTCCCTCTACCTTTGCTCGCCTCTCCTCGGAGCCTTCGGGCCCTTCGGTACTTCTTTCAGAGACGGTGTTTTCCAGCGACGACAACTAGTAGTTGTAGCAAAACTAACGTTAAGTAGCGGTGGCATCCTTGAGCCACACCGATGCAGTCAGCAGATGATTACTAGTAGTAGGAACCTACCATACATTGCGCTACGAGTTCCGATGTATGCCACGCATAGAACTCGTTCGTCCGCCACGCGCCGCCGCGTGGCGCCTCCGTGGTCAATGCGTGCCGACGCAGCAGCTCGGCTTCTCCTTTGCGCGGCCCTTGCGCTTTCCACCGCCGCAGATTGCTCCTTCTCTTCCGCCAACCACCCACTGCCTCGGCGACAAGCCCCCCGTCGGCCTAACCAGCGCGTGCTGTCTCCCCTTGCTCGGCCCATCCGCGCCCAGCGCTCGCTCCTCAAGCTCGACGCCGCCACCGCCGCGGCCGCAAGGCCCGTGGCTTTGGAGGCGTCGCAACGTGAGCTCGCTGCCCTCCGCCAGGACTCCAGCCGTCGCTGGAAGTGGACTGCTGTAACGCAATTTGCGCAGATGATAACGTTGCCTGAGCTGCAGCCTGTGCCTGAGCCTGTGCCTGAGCATGATGTGCCTGAGCCTGAGCCGCGGCCTGTGCCTGCGAGCCGTAGCTTCGTTCACTTGAGCCGGGCCTCTAGTCCTAGCGGCTTCTTCTGCATCTCGAACCATCGCGTTTTTACGTCCTCAGTGCTGGCAGGACGCTGGTCCGGCCCAACCGCTGAGACGCTCATCTAATTTCACCCCCTTCCCCTCCTTCGTTCGGGCGCTCGCTGCACATGCGCGCAGTCAACGAGATTGTGAAGGTGCAGGCGGCGTGGGGCGCGTGGGCGGGCAACAGCAACGGCACCACTGCGTGCTCTGCGTGGCCGGGCGTGACATGCAGTCCTAACGGACTGGTCATCGCATTGTGAGTGCCATTGCCCCCTACTGCCCCCATTGCTCCCACCATTGCCCCACATGACCACCTTCACTAATAATGCCTCGTTACGTTAGCTACTGGGGCAAAAGAAGGGTGATATTGCCCCTCAACCATTACGCCCCACAGGCGTTACGCTCACTGTTCACCACTTGACGTTCAGACCTGCACGCGCCTGGGCGTGTGGACTGAGTTGCCCGCAAACGCGAGAGTTGCGTGCACGTGGAGGAAATGGTTCCTGCAGCAATGAATGTGCAAGGGAATGTTCGCAGCAGGGAATGTTCGCAGCAGGGAATGTTAGCAGCAGGGAATGTTCGCTGCAGGGAATGTTCGCAGCAGGGAATGTTCGCAGCAGGGAATGTTCGCAGCAGGGAATGTCCACAGCAGGGAATGTTCGCAGCAGGGAATGTTCGCAGCAGGGAATGTTCGCAGCAGGGAATGTTCGCAGCAGGGAATGTCCGCAGCAGGGAATGTTCGCAGCAGGGAATGTTCGCAGCAGGGAATGTTCGCAGCAGGGAATGTTCGCAGCAGGGAATGTTAGCAGCAGGGAATGTTCGCAGCAGGGAATGTTCGCAGCAGGGAATGTCCGCAGCAGGGAATGTCCGCAGCAGGGAATGTTCGCAGCAGGGAATGTTCGCAGCAGGGAATGCTCGCAGCAGGGAATGTTCGCAGCAGGGAATGTTAGCAGCAGGGAATGTTCGCAGCAGGGAATGTTCGCAGCAGGGAATGTTCGCAGCAGGGAATGTCCGCAGCAGGGAATGTTCGCAGCAGGGAATGTTCGCAGCAGGGAATGTTCGCAGCAGGGAATGTCCGCAGCAGGGAATGTTCGCAGCAGGGAATGTTCGCAGCAGGGAATGTTCGCAGCAGGGAATGTTCGCAGCAGGGAATGTTCGCAGCAGGGAATGTCCGTGCAGGAGGCTGCGAAACGGCCGGAAGTGCGCATTCGCGGCACATGGTATCGACGTGCCGAAGAAAGAACCCGCCCCTCGTGTCGAGGAGTGCGGACTGTAGGGGGAATTCAGACATGTGCACCCCACCAGCCTGACACAACAAACACACCCCAGTTGGGTTGCAATATCTCCAACACGCGCGCCTCGTTGTTACCATGCGTTTCACGCGCCTCAGCTCTCCCTTGGTCTGGAATTCTCCGCAGCCCATGTACTACACTCATTGCTGTGCATCACCTGCTTTTGTTCTGAATGGGCTGGACGTGAGTGAGTGGTGGGTGAGTGGTGGGGGCGAGAGCTGGGATTAGGCGGTCGAGATTGATGGATGGGGTAAGGGGCATGGGAGAGGAATAGTAGGGGAAAAGTGGTGGAGGCGGGGTGTGGGAGGGGATGGGTAGTGGGGTGGTGTGAGTAAAGGGGTGGGGTGGGGAGGGATGGGAGCATGGCGTGGTTGCGTGCGTGTGGTGGGTGGCAGGGATTCAAAGGCCGTGGCGGTGGAGGGCAGTGCCACCATACCTGCCTCTATCACCAACCTCGCCGCTCTGCAGTACCTGTCCGTCCCCAGTCCCCCTCCCCACCACTCCATCCACACTGCATTGCGTGCACCATGCCATCACTCTTTCACCATCCATCATAGTCCCTCCAATTCTTGCCCTCGGTCGCCGTGCTTGCTCGTCCATGCCCCGCCTTACCAGGAAGTTTCAAACCGGCTATTTCTATGCAGAGATCCCCCCCATCTCGCCCCCCACTCGCTTGATAAGCCATACCCGACTTCCCCCACTCGCTGCCTTTGCACTCTTCAACTCTGCAGCAGTTGGTGCAGCAGCTGAGATTTGATCTGCACCAAGGCATCGATCTACACGCCTCATTCCGCCTCCCTCCTGCCTCCCCACGTCCCCAGGGATCTGACAAACGAGCAGCTGGTGGGGCCCATCCCATCCCTCGCAAGTCTCTCCAAGCTCACTCTCCTGTACGTGCCCCGCCCTCATCCGCACTCCAAGCTCACTCTCCTGTACACACGACGCACCGGAACCATGCATGTCACGGTGGCCTCGCCTCGTCTGAGTCTGGAAAGTCTCGTGGGCGTGCCCTTGTCCCTCTGCCCTTGTCCCTCTGCCCTTGTTGCCCTGCCCTTGTTCCCCTGCCCCTATCTCCTTCCCTCTGCCCCCCTGCCCTTGACCCACTGCGCTGCTTCTATCCGATTATTATAGCTCTTGCTTTCTCCTTTCTCAAGAAGTTGATGTCTCTTCTATCCTCTGCATGTGCGGCATGGCTGACTGCATGTGCGGCATGTCCTCAGAGCCATTGGAGCAGATGGCAGCCAGCTGACCGGCACCTACGAGGGACTGGTGTGGCTCTCCTCCCTCTCCAACCTGCAATCGCTGTACGCCCTGCACACTGTCATGCCCTGCTCACACTTCACACACCCTGATTCATGTGCCACTCGGCATGCAGTTGGCACTCCATTTCGTCTCTAAGCCATGCTGCCCTCATTGCTGCACGCCACGCCCCATCGCTCCAGCAACTTGTGCACAAGCCCGCCCACCCCATGCCATGGCTTCTCGCACGTCCCACAACCCCCCACCACCACCCACCAGGAATCTTTTTGGCTTGGCGGAGTTCACAGGGAGCTTGTCCTCTCTGCACGTTGTCTCTCACCTCGAGAATCTTCAAAGCCTGTAAGCTCGATTTTAGGGTGTCAGGAGCCGCTGCTGCCTTGATGCGTCAACTTGTGTAGTTCATATCAGTCAGTGTGTGAACTGACTTTGTGGCCGCCTCTCATTCAGTCTTCAATAGCGTTTACTTTTCTCCATGTGTATGCATGTGCGCAGGACACTCAAATCGCTCACCAATGCCACGGGGGAGATACCCAGGGAGATCCGATACCTCACGGCCCTCACTGCACTGTGAGCTTGTCGGAGAACACCTTTCCTCTGGCACCTGCTCCTCTTCCTGCTTCCATTCTTCTTTCTTTCCTTGCATGTGATGTTTCACCTCAGCCACTCCCTGAAGAAGTTCCCTCCCTCACCCCGTAGGTTCCCTCCTAGTGGCGTGCTGCTGGATGTAGGATCTAGAGCAACTGATTTCACTATGACGAGAGAATAACAAGCGAAAAGCATGGACTGGATGTTCCTGACTGAACTTACCTTGCCCAGGCTCAAGTCGCACATTTCACAATGTGCGGCTCGAGTTTGGGCTGGTCCTCCCTGATTGGTTCAATGCATTTCGCCCCTCGGTCCTTTCCCTCCCATTCCTAACGTCAAATTCGTCCTCCCCCTACTCAACCTCAACTTCCATTCCAACATTCGCTACACCACAATCTACACCCGCGCAACACTGTCATCCCATATGCACAAAGTGCATATTTGGTGACAAGCTGCACACGGGTGTAAGAGTAGATCAGATGGAACACGCTTGTTCACGTGCACGAGCAGGTTTTCACTGACTGCTCAACTGGCACAAGACCAGCCCTCTGCTATGCCCTTATCCTTGTGCCGTCCCGTTGCATTCTCCCCTGCAGTGATTTGTCGTATCTTCGGGCCTTGGAGTTCCCTGCTTGGGTGACTCACCTCTCCATTCTTCAATATCTGTGAGCCATTGCCATTGACACACACCTACCGCCCTTGCTGCTGAGTTTATGATGCACCCTAACAATGCATGTCATAGCCGTGGCCTTGCCTTGTCTGAGTCTGGAAAGTCTCACGGGCGTGCCCTCGTCCCTCTGCCCTTGTCCCTCTATCCTTGCCCCCCTGCCCTTGTCCCCCTGCCCTTGTCATCCTGCCCTTGTCCCCCTGCCCTTCTGCTGCCCTTTGTTAATGTTAGCCCTCAATCTCAATGTTGATGTCCCCCTGCCCATGTCCCCCTGTCATTGTCCCCCTGTCATTGTCCCACTGCCCTTGCCCCCCTGCCCTTCTCCCCTGTCCTTCTCCCCTGCCCTTCTCCCCCTGCCCTTGCATGCAGCAACGTGAACGCGGACGAGCCGCGGCGGCAGGGGTTGTTGTCGGATGACATCTCACACCTCACAGCGCTCACCAGCATGTGAGTGCAGCGCGCAAAGTTCACAACCTGCAGTGACAATACATGAAACCAAGGAGCCAAGGAGTTCGTGTATGAGTGTGAGAATGGCTAGGCCCATTGCTGCAGCTGCTGCCTGGTAGTCGGATTGGCCACCAGGCAGGCTATATTGGTGTTACTTTTGAGAATTCTCAAAAGTAACTCCGCCGATATAGCTGGGGGTGTGCTGCGCTGGACAGCACGTTCCTGCCACTCCTGCGCAAGTGTTTTGAGACGTCTCAAACAACTTCTTCAAGCAAGTCCCTCCCTCATGTGTTATCCTCGTGCCCTGCATCTCGTGCCTGGTGGCACGCAACCACGGCAGATCCCTCTCTGGCAACAACCTGGACGGATACGTGCCTAAGAGCTTCTCCTCTCTCCTCAACCTGCAATACCTGTGAGCTGCTGCCCGCTGTGCCGTGCTGCCGAGCCCCTTGCTGCCACCCTGCCACGCCCCCATGCTGTCATCCTTCCGTGGTGCTGTTACCAATCCGTTAAGCTGCAACCCACTGAATGCGTATCTTGTCAGCCCTAGCAATTACCTGCGTTTGTAATTGGGAGCTCCACCTTCTTCTTGTTTCAGGGCTTTGAGTTTCAACCATCTCCAAGGCACCATTCCTGCCACCCTATCTGCCCTAACAGCCCTCACTGCAATGTAAGTTCTCAGCATGCACGTCGCCTCGCTCCGCCCGACCGCCGCTCTCTCACCTTAGTTGGAGTATATGTGTTTCGCGTTTCATACGCTAGCGTTTATCCGCTAGCGTATAAATGCCGAATGCTTCTTGGGAGGGGTCCAGTACGCAGTGAATACGCAGGCCCGGGCACACAAATTTCTCGCTGGGCAGTATGTTAGGTTAAGAGGGGGGTCAATAAGAACGAGGTCGGTCGGAACTACGTAAAAAAATCCGAAGGTGAACATCGAATGGAGAAATGAGCTGCATTTCTTCTAGTAGAGGTGAGGCTGGTTGAATCCAACTCTTCCAGTCGACATTGTGTTGGAAGGAATTGGGATTGAATGGGGTGGAGTGGGTTGCGCAACGGTAAACAGGAGGGGTTGTTGTAGATCTGCTTCGAAAATCAATTTCGAAGTTGAGATTGGGACGTGCGAAGGCCGAATTTTAGTTTGCCATGTCGAGAGCTCAAACCCAGCTTCTGATTTTTTTTTTTTCGGACTGCCTTAGCGTTTTTCTGCGTTCCTACACCAAAAACGCAGCAGTCATTTGTTTACGGCGTATAGACTCAAAACGCAAACAAATTTCCAACTTAGTCTCTCACCATCTCGTTGGTCACCCCCGTATCACCCCCTTGGTCATGGACTGCAGAGCTGCTCATTCTGCCACCCTCCCACTGCAGAGACCTCTCATGGAATTATCTGTCAGGTTCCATCCCCCGTGTCTTCACCACCAACATTCAAAGCATGTACGCATCGCGCCTCTTTTCTTTAAGCTCCAACCCCCACCCCACAATCTCCTGTATCCTCTTCTTCCTCTGTAAACCCTCATGCTACCCTCTCTCTCTAACACGATCCTTCGTTATTAGATAGAAATAATGGTACATCTCAAACAAGCAACTACAACGTAAGAAGCCAACTGGGTGAGTGTAATGTAAGCCCGTCCTATTGCAGTTTGGCCACCGGCTCTGTCTAGCACCGAGAAACAATCCCGTGGGCTCAATGCCTCATTTGGTCTACCGACTGGTTGATTCTCAACCTGCACCGCAAAGTTAAAGTCAGTGAGGACACTGACCACGCGACAGACCAGTGCTGGCATAACTGGTGTAGGAAACTGTGGGCCTGTTAAGTGGAGGGATCGGCATTGAAAAGGCATCTCGCTGCAGTGTCTGCCAGTAACTTGAGGAACGCAGGAAGCTCCCCGCAAGGGCACCCGTAGGTCTTGTGTCTTGACCGCCAGGAGGAAAAAGCTGACTTACTCTGCCCTGTTGCGGTACTGGTCGGACTTCTCAGCGCACATCTCTGGCAGCCCATCCCCTCCCTTTCCGTGCTTGCGGGTCGCGGGTGCTTATGGGATCAGTGACAGTCACGTCACAAACCCACACTGCCCCCGCCGTGTGGTCCCGTATGGCGAGGTCCGCGGTCTTGTCATCGACCGGGGCAAAAGGCCGTCGATTCCTTGCCAACAATGAAACCGGCATCCTGCACCATGCGTATGCTTTCGTTGCGCAGTGCAATGTGCTTGTTGGTTCGTCCAGAGCTGGTGCCACAGTGAAGAAGGTCGTTAGGTAGTCGCGTCGCGGGTCCAGTATGTAGACCTTCTTGTCACTGCATTCACGCTTGCTCGGAGCAGAAAACGGTAGTCTGAGTCAGAATCGTAGTGCCATGGTGAAGTGGGCGGGGCTGAGGCGCAGCGATAAAAAGAGGGGGACGGCCAGCAGCCACTTCCCCCCCCTGTAGCCCGAGAGGAGATCAGCCACTATGTTTGCCCCGCATTGGGGTTGATGACGTCCATGCCTTGTGAGGCTGCGACTCGCTAAATGTCAAACACTGTTGCAGTGTGTGACCTGATGGTGTCTGTCCCTGAGAATCCAGCAGCTCCCATGCAGTTTCTGGGAGCTTTTGCACTCACTAAGCCAGTCTTGCCAGTCGTGTACTGCCACCAGCCAGTCCCCAGCCCCGGGCCCGAGCAGCGACTGCAAGCGCTGGATGTAGCGGGCCGCTTGAATCGCCAGTGAGAGCGCCTGTTGCAGCTTTGGGCTGTTGGGTTCCCGGTACCCTGCTTCTAGGGCCGGTGCCACCTCAGCAGGTAGTGTTGCTTCCGCTAACGCGAGGCGCGAAGGGAGGGCCGTGTTGGAGCGGGGATCCGGGTCCATGAGGCGAGTGTCCGGGGGACGGTGGAGATTATGGAAACACGGTAAGCATAGCTCCCTCCCACTGCTGGGTCGGTTAGGCTCAGCCCAAGAGTCATCATGGGTAGTGCAGCATGACGCCAGATGCGGGCCTGTTTGGCTGTGCAGTGCACGTGGATGGTGCGTGTAGAAGCCCTTCTTTCCATGCAGGCCACTCCTCCATTGGTGGCTTTTTTGGGGGGCTGGTCAGGCGAGGAATGAGGCTCGCCGACTGTCGTATCGGGTGAGGAGGGGGAGGCAGAGCTGGGGGTCCATGTGGACCAAGAGTGGTAGTAGTTCCGCCATGTCGGCGAGCCGTTCCCTCGCCAGCATGCGCAGCCTGTTGGAGGGCCGATGGGGCTCCCCAGCATGCATATGGCCTCTGGTCTAGCCGTTATACCGGCTGGGAGTGTGCTGGGGTTGATGGCAGAGGCTAGACATGAGCATATCGACGAGCCTTGACTCGGCTCGACAGGCTCGGCTCGGGTTACCCCCGAGCCGAGCCTTTTTTTTTGGCCCTCTGTCTCGGATCGAGCCGAGTCGAGCATGGCTCGCCGAGCCGGCCGAGCCGCTCGGCTCGACGAAGCAATTTTGGCGAGTCAGGGATGGCTCGCGGGTCAATTTGGCTCGTCGCGAGCCTTTGAATGGCTCGACGTTCCTATGCGAGCGAAAAGTCGGGGGTCCGAGAGCTTGAATGTAACTGATACGTTCGTTCCTGTCCGTGAATCGCGTTTTGCTAGTGGTAACAAATTCCTGGAACGGGATACTAATCATCCCTAGATCGGGAATGCACATCTCATCGGGGAGGGAGATGCACGGTTAACAAAACAGTAGAGGCCAATCTCAGCGACACTGGGACGAGTAACATGTAGCGAAAAATAGGCGAAACCTTTGCCCAATCTCAGTGACACGAGCATTCCATAAAGGAGGCGAAAACTGTTGAAATCTCGTCAACTCTCGACTAGTTTCGCATGTGCGTTTGTATTTGAAAAAATTGTTCCCCAAGGTGTTCGCCAGCATTCTGTATCCAGCTTCGTTGAGCTTAATTTGTTCGCTAATCCCACAGCAGGCCTCCCAACTTTCCCTCCACCAAATTCGACCAAATTTCGCGAGTTGAAATTAGGGTTACTGTGTCAGAAATTCGAAAAGCAGTGTCAGATCTGATTGCTCGACAACCTCGCGCATGTTTCCGTTTCATGCATCGAAAGCTGACCTTCGAAATGGGGGCGGAGGGTATGTCTCCTTTACCTTCGACATATGGTCGGGCGGGAATCGTCGCGGGTACATGGTGATCACGGCACATTGGATCACCAAGGATTGGCAATTGCGTGTTGCAACACTGGACTTTGTCGATCTGGGAGAGAAGCACACTGCTGTGGTCATTGCAGATGCCTTTGAAGATGTGCTGCACGAGTGGGGATTGGTGGACCGTTGTTTCGGCGTCACCACCGACAACGCAGAGAGCAACACTGCCGCGCTGCGCATTCTAGCTGGGCAAGGGCATTATGGGAGGGAAGAGCCAATTGTCGCGGCCACCATGCACTTTCGGTGAGTACAGGTTGGGAGAGAGTGGCTGGTTTGGTTGCTGTAGGGCTTTTGCATCCACAGAAATGTCACAATCCACTCAACCGAACTCTTCCCTCCTTCAGGTGCCTCGCACACATCCTGAACCTCGCTGTGCAGCGGGCTTTAGGAGTAGATGCGGTGAAGGTGCCACTGGCACGCTTACGCGAGATTGCCTCCTTTATCGGGTGGTCGCCTAAGCGCACCGCAATCTTTTTCAAGATTCAGAAAGCCTTGAATCAGGGACAGCAACCTTTGAAGCTAATCGCGTGCTGGTCCAGGAAAGTGACACGCGGTGGGGTTCCACCCACGAGATGATAGCGCGTGCTTTGGAGCTACAGCCAGCCCTGACAGTCTTCTTCCAGCAAGAGAAGGTATGTGTGGGTGGGGTCTGCAGTGTTTGATGTATGGCTGGTCCATCCATTCCCTAGACTTCATTTCCCTAAACATGGGCTCGTCATTCCTTTGTGTGTGTGTGTACACATCAACCAACAGGGTACCACCAAGGCTGAAAAGGAACGGGTCAGTGAGCTGAGCCTCAGTGCTGAGCACTGGGAGAGCCTCACGGAATTGGTGGAGTTTTTGGACCCGTTCAACTCCGTCACCCTGGCAGCCGAGGGATCTATGTATCCCACCGTCAGCGCTGTTGTTCCTCAATTCAATGAACTGATGGACCAACTAGAGGGCGCGTACCACGATGTCCAGTCGCCCCCCACCGAGCTTCGCAAGCAGCTCATCAACGCAGCCCTTCCTCTCCTGAAGAAGTATTACTATGGGAGCAGTGATGAGCTCGTGGTCGCTACGTTTCTGGACCCGAATTACAAGCTCGATTACTTCAATCTCCCGTTTTGGGAGCTGTCCAACCCCTCAATAGCGGGGGTAGTGGGTGAAGGGTCCCGGGCTGTGAGCTCTGTTGCTCCGGAGGAAGTGTTGGCGCTTGTGCGCCAACGCTGGGCGCCTTATAAGGCACGTGCAGATCTGGCTGCTGCAGCTCGTGCTGGAGTGAGCACAGTGACAGTGGGACAGATGACTGGTATGGGCGGTGGGGGGATGCGTGCGGGGAGTGGTGGTGCTGGGGGGGATGCTATGGCCAAGAATCCCATCAAGGAACACATCCAGGCTATGAGAGCTAGCCAGGACAGTCGGCCTCGAGATGACATAACCATTTATCTTGAAGAGCCGCCCGTGGATGTGTGCCCGCTCGCTTATTGGCGTGAGCGGAAAGATCTTCCCTCCTTGCAGGCAATGGCAATGGATTACCTTGCCATTCCTGCAACATCCGCTCCTAGCGAGCGTGTTTTCTCTCAGAGCAGGAACCTCATTACGTGGCATCGCCATCGCTTGAGCGCCGAGCGCATACGTGCGTGCATGACGCTCAAGACGTGGGTGAAGTCTTATCCTGGGGTGATGCTTGGTGGAGCTGATGCGGCTGCGGTATTAGAGGAGCTTGGAGTGGAGGGGGATGAAGAGGAAGACTATGGGGAGTTGCGTGCTTGACCTCTCGCTAGATGACATCATAATTTATCCGAGGACTTGGTAGTTTTAGGACCAGGTAGTTTTAGGACCAATAATATCAACCATGACTTTCTGTGATTGCCATGGTATTCTCATTTCGTTTAGCCAGAGGTAGGAAGTAATTTTCTGGCAGGGTGATCCCATTCTGATTAATGCTGGCCATTGGCTCAGTGATAACATCAAAACTGCATTGCACAAACATGAAACATGTGAGCCTTTTGAGGGTGAACACTACGTGAGTATGATGCCACAACCTTTCTGCAATATAGATGTAAGTACTCTGACATGTAGCACTAGCAATGAATTCTCTGCTCAAACACCAAAGCTGACACCAAAAACAGCAGCACCTACACGAGCAGCATCACTGGTGGGAGAACGGAGGGCAAGGCGGGAGAGAGGAATCATGAGCCTAGGGGAGGTGGGGTGGCAAGAGAGTGGAACAGGAGGGTGGTTGGTTGGAGAAGAGAGGAGATCCTCCTAGTAGGTAGGCTGGTGATATGTGACTGTGACACAAGGAGAGAGGGAATGAGAACAGATGTGATTGCGGGGCGATGCAAGTCGTGTGACTGAACGAACAGAAACATATCAGAATGCACAAGAAGGGAGGGTGAGCATATGTGACTGCTAGGGTCGAGCCTGGCTCGGCTCGTCACAAGCCGATGTGGCTCGACCCAAGCCCTTGAGTGGCTCGGGTATGATACCCAAGCCACGAGCCAAGTGAGTTCACAAATCGGCTCGGCCTGGCTCGACTCGACTCGGCTCGAGGTTAAGGCGAGCCACTGCCGGCTCGAGTCAAGCCTGGCTCGACTCGTCCCGTGCTCATGTCTAGCAGAGGCTGACCATGCTTCACATCTGGCTGGGCTGTGTTGGATGCCCAGCTGAGTAAGGGCCGTGGTGAGGTGTGTGAACGCCGCAATCATCACCGACCCTATCAGCATAAAGTGTCTCTTTCCGTTGAGCTGCCTCCTCTGCCACTCACCGGGGTAGGTTTTGCTGCCCGGGGTTCCCTGTTCTTGGTCTTGGGGCAGCCAATGGTGACATCGGTCACCCAAGACTCTCATGTTGTTCGGTAATGAGGCAGCACAATGTCTGCTCGAGGTGAGTTTTTTGTGGGCGGCATACAGCGTTGAACCTTTGTGAATGATGAGCCCTGCTTCTTGGGCAATTCGGGCCGCCAGGTTGACATAGTTGTTGTGTGTGGTGGTCCTGTCCGCTCCGACCCCGCAGCGCGTAGGAGACGATAGGTAGGGTGAGCTCTCCAATAGGCTCTTTGCTTTTGCAGGTACAGTTTCCTGGCTCGTTGATGGGGAGCCCCATCCGGAAGGCCAGGGCAGTGTGGTAAACTGCCCGGGGCTGAAGCACAGGTCCCGGCTGAACGGTATTGCAAGGAGCCAATTTCCAGCTCCCGGGCCTTGAAACACCATATTGATCATTGAGGAGTCACCTCCCCTTCCTATCCAGAGCACTTGGCTACAACGCCTTTAGTGGCCCCATCCCGCCTCACCTTGCACTACCCCAACTCTCTGCCCTGTAAGGCCCGCCCCTCTATGCCCTGCTTCCTTGCACTCATTATCTGCATCCCATAAACTTGGCCCCTTGCTCTCTGCCCTCATTTATCTGCCTGGTTCCATCCGCCCATATCTGTACCCTTGCCTCTCAATGATTCAACTCTCTCCTTTGTGCCCTGCTGGGCGGCCCACTCGTGTCTGCAGGCAGCTGTCCAGCAATGAGTTCACAGGCGACATTCCCAGCACCTTCACCCGCCTCACCGCCATGAATAAGCTGTACGCCTCACCGCCATGAATAAGCTGTACGCCTCACCGCCATGAATAAGCTGTACGCCTCACCTTCATGAATGTGCTGTACGCCTCACCGCCATGGGCTTTGATTGCTCATTGCTGTCCCTTTGCCAATGAAGGTTCTTGCCAAGCTCTTCGCCTGCATCCCACGTGCCTGCATCCCACGTGCCTGCACCCCACGTGCCTGCACCCCACGTGCCTGCATCCCACGTGCCTGCATCCCACGTGCATGCATCCAACGTGCCTGCATCCCACGTGCCTGCATCCCCCGTGCCTGCATCCCCCGTGCCTGCACCCCACGAACCTGCATCCCCCGTGCCTGCATCCCACGTGCCTGCATCCCACGTGCCTGCATCCCACGTGCCTGCATCCCACGTGCCTGCATCCAACGTGCCTGCATCCCCCGTGCCTGCATCCCACGTGCCTGCATCCCACATGCCTGCATCCCACGTACCTGCATCCCACATGCCTGCATCCCACGTGCCTGCATCCCCCGTGCCTGCATCCCACGTGCCTGCACCCCACGTGCCTGCATCCCACGTGCCTGCATCCCCCGTGCCTGCATCCCACGTGCCTGCATCCCCCGTGCCTGCATCCCACGTGCCTGCATCCCACGTGCCTGCATCCCACGTGCCTGCATCCCACGTGCCTGCATCCCACGTGCCTGCATCCCCCGTGCCTGCATCCCACGTGCCTGCATCCCACGTGCCTGCATCCCACGTGCCTGCATCCCACGTGCTTGCATCCCACGTGCGTGCATCCCACGTGCCTGCATCCCACGTGCCTGCATCCCACGTGCCTGCATCCCACGTACCTGCATCCCACGTGCCTGCATCCCACGTGCCTGCATCCCACGTGCCTGCATCCCCCGTGCCTGCATCCCACGTGCCTGCATCCCACGTGCCTGCATCCCACGTGCCTGCATCCCACATGCTTGCATCCCACGTGCATGCATCCCACGTGCCTGCATCCCACGTGCCTGCATCCCACGTGCCTGCATCCCACGTACCTGCATCCCACGTGCCTGCATCCCACGTGCCTGCATCCCACGTGCCTGCATCCCACGTGCCTGCATCCCACGTGCCTGCATCCCACGTGCCTGCATCCCACGTGCCTGCATCCCCCGTGCCTGCATCCCACGTGCCTGCATCCCACGTGCCTGCATCCCACGTGCCTGCATCCCACGTGCCTGCATCCCCCGTGCCTGCATCCCACGTGCCTGCATCCCCCGTGCCTGCATCCCACGTGCCTGCATCCCCCGTGCCTGCATCCCACGTGCCTGCATCCCCCATGCCTGCATCCCACGTGCCTGCATCCCACGTGCCTGCACCCCACATGCCTGCATCCCACGTGCCTGCATCCCACGTGCCTGCATCCCACGTGCCTGCATCCCACGTGCCTGCATCCCACGTGCCTGCATCCCACGTGCCTGCATCCCACGTGCCTGCATCCCCCGTGCCTGCATCCCACGTGCCTGCATCCCCCATGCCTGCATCCCACGTGCCTGCATCCCCCGTGCCGGCATCCCCCGTGCCTGCATCCCACGTGCCTGCATCCCACGTGCCTGCATCCCACGTGCCTGCATCCCACGTGCCTGCATCCCACGTGCCTGCATCCCACGTGCCTGCATCCCACGTGCCTGCATCCCACGTGCCTGCACCCCACGTGCCTGCATCCCCCGTGCCTGCATCCCCCGTGCCTGCATCCCACATGCCTGCATCCCCCGTGCCTGCATCCAACGTGCCTGCACCCCACGAGCCTGCATCCCCCGTGCCTGCATCCCCCATGCCTGCATCCCACGTGCCTGCATCCCCCGTGCCTGCATCCCACGTGCCTGCACCCCACGTGCCTTCATCCCACGTGCCTGCATCCCCCGTGCCTGCATCCCACGTGCCTGCACCCCACGTGCCTGCATCCCACGTGCCTGCATCCCACGTGCCTGCATCCCACGTGCATGCATCCCACGTGCCTGCATCCCACGTGCCTGCATCCCACGTGCCTGCATCCCACGTACCTGCATCCCACGTGCCTGCATCCCACGTGCCTGCATCCCACGTGCCTGCATCCCACGTGCCTGCATCCCACGTGCCTGCATCCCCCGTGCCTGCATCCCACGTGCCTGCATCCCACGTGCCTGCATCCCACGTGCCTGCATCCCACGTGCTTGCATCCCACGTGCGTGCATCCCACGTGCCTGCATCCCACGTGCCTGCATCCCACGTGCCTGCATCCCACGTACCTGCATCCCACGTGCCTGCATCCCACGTGCCTGCATCCCACGTGCCTGCATCCCCCGTGCCTGCATCCCACGTGCCTGCATCCCACGTGCCTGCATCCCACGTGCCTGCATCCCACATGCTTGCATCCCACGTGCATGCATCCCACGTGCCTGCATCCCACGTGCCTGCATCCCACGTGCCTGCATCCCACGTACCTGCATCCCACGTGCCTGCATCCCACGTGCCTGCATCCCACGTGCCTGCATCCCACGTGCCTGCATCCCACGTGCCTGCATCCCACGTGCCTGCATCCCACGTGCCTGCATCCCCCGTGCCTGCATCCCACGTGCCTGCATCCCACGTGCCTGCATCCCACGTGCCTGCATCCCACGTGCCTGCATCCCCCGTGCCTGCATCCCACGTGCCTGCATCCCCCGTGCCTGCATCCCACGTGCCTGCATCCCCCGTGCCTGCATCCCACGTGCCTGCATCCCACGTGCCTGCATCCCACGTGCCTGCATCCCCCATGCCTGCATCCCACGTGCCTGCATCCCACGTGCCTGCACCCCACATGCCTGCATCCCACGTGCCTGCATCCCACGTGCCTGCCCACGTGCCTGCATCCCACGTGCCTGCATCCCACGTGCCTGCATCCCACGTGCCTGCATCCCACGTGCCTGCATCCCACGTGCCTGCATCCCCCGTGCCTGCATCCCACGTGCCTGCATCCCCCATGCCTGCATCCCACGTGCCTGCATCCCCCGTGCCGGCATCCCCCGTGCCTGCATCCCACGTGCCTGCATCCCACGTGCCTGCATCCCACGTGCCTGCATCCCACGTGCCTGCATCCCACGTGCCTGCATCCCACGTGCCTGCATCCCACGTGCCTGCATCCCACGTGCCTGCACCCCACGTGCCTGCATCCCCCGTGCCTGCATCCCCCGTGCCTGCATCCCACATGCCTGCATCCCCCGTGCCTGCATCCAACGTGCCTGCACCCCACGAGCCTGCATCCCCCGTGCCTGCATCCCCCATGCCTGCATCCCACGTGCCTGCATCCCCCGTGCCTGCATCCCACGTGCCTGCACCCCACGTGCCTTCATCCCACGTGCCTGCATCCCCCGTGCCTGCATCCCACGTGCCTGCACCCCACGTGCCTGCATCCCACGTGCCTGCATCCCACGTGCCTGCATCCCACGTGCCTGCATCCCCCGTGCCTGCATCCCACTTGCCTGCATCCCACGTGCCTGCATCCCCCGTGCCTGCATCCCCCGTGCCTGCATCCCACGTGCCTGCATCCCACGTGCCTGCATCCCACGTGCCTGCATCCCACGTGCCTGCATCCCCCGTGCCTGCATCCCACGTGCCCGCATCCCACGTGCCTGCATCCCACGTGCCTGCATCACACGTGCCTGCATCCCACATGCCTGCATCCCCCGTGCCTGCATCCCACGTGCCTGCATCCCACGTGCCTGCATCCCACGTGCCTGCATCCCACGTGCCTGCATCACACGTGCCTGCATCCCCCGTGCCTGCATCCCACGTGCGTGCATCCCACGTGCCTGCATCCCACGTGCATGCATCCCACGTGCCTGCATCCCACCTACCTTCATCCCACGTGCCTGCATCCCACGTGCCTGCATCCCCCATGCCTGCATCCCACATGCCTGCATCCCCCGTGCCTGCATCCCACGTGCCTGCATCCCCCGTGCCTGCATCCCACGTGCCTGCATCCCACGTGCCTGCATCCCACGTGCCTGCATCCCCCGTGCCTGCATCCCACGTGCCTGCATCCCACGTGCCTGCATCCCACGTGCCTGCATCCCCCGTGCCTGCATCCCACGTGCCTGCATCCCACGTGCCTGCATCCCACGTGCCTGCATCCCACGTACCTGCATCCCACGTGCCTGCATCCCACATGCCTGCATCCCACGTGCCTGCATCCCACGTGCCTGCATCCCCCGTGCCTGCATCCCACGTGCCTGCATCCCCCGTGCCTGCATCCAACGTGCCTGCATCCCCTGTGCCTGCATCCCACGTGCCTGCATCCCACGTGCCTGCATCCCACGTGCCTGCATCCCCCGTGCCTGCATCCCCCATGCCTGCATCCCACGTGCCTGCACCCCACGTGCCTGCATCCCACATGCCTGCTTCCCACGTGCCTGCATCCCACGTGCCTGCATCCCACGTGCCTGCATCCTACGTGCCTGCACCCCACGTGCCTGCATCCCCCGTGCCTGCATCCCCCATGCCTGCATCCCACGTGCCTGCATCCCACGTGCCTGCATCCCACGTGCCTGCATCCCACGTGCCTGCATCCCACGTGCCTGCATCCCACGTGCCTGCATCCCACGTGCCTGCATCCCACGTGCCTGCATCCCACGTGCCTGCATCCCACGTGCCTGCATCCCACGTGCCTGCATCCCACGTGCCTGCATCCCATGTGCCTGCATCCCACGTGCCTGCATCCCACGTGCCTGCATCCCACGTACCTGCATCCCACGTGCCTGCATCCCACGTGCCTGCATCCCACGTGCCTGCATCCCACGTGCCTGCATCCCCCGTGCCTGCATGCCACGTGCCTGCATCCCCCGTGCCTGCATCCCACGTGCCTGCATCCCCCGTGCCTGCATCCCACGTGCCTGCATCCCACGTGCCTGCATCCCACGTGCCTGCATCCCCCGTGCCTGCATCCCACGCGCCTGCATCCCACGCGCCTGCATCCCACGTGCCTGCATCCCCCGTGCCTGCATCCCACGTGCCTGCATCCCACGTGCCTGCATCCCACGTGCCTGCATCCCACGTGCCTGCATCCCACATGCCTGCATCCCACGTGCCTGCATCCCACGTGCCTGCATCCCACGTGCCTGCATCCCACGTGCCTGCATCCCACGTGCCTGCATCCCACGTGCCTGCATCCCCCGTGCCTGCATCCCACGTGCCTGCATCCCACGTGCCTGCAACCCACGTGCCTGCATTCCCCGTGCCTGCATCCCCCGTGCCTGCATCCCACGTGCCTGCATCCCACGTGCCTGCATCCCCCGTGCCTGCATCCCACGTGCCTGCACTCCACGTGCCTTCATCCCACGTGCCTGCATCCCCCGTGCCTGCATCCCACGTGCCTGCATCCCACGTGCCTGCATCCCACGTGCCTGCACCCCACGTGCCTGCATCCCCCGTGCTTGCATCCCCCGTGCCTGCATCCCACGTGCCTGCATCCCACGTGCCTGCATCCCACGTGCCTGCACCCCACGTGCCTGCATCCCCCGTGCCTGCATCCCCCGTGCCTGCATCCCACGTGCCTGCATCCCACGTGCCTGCATCCCACGTGCCTGCATCCCACGTGCCTGCATCCCACGTGCCTGCATCCCACGTGCCTGCATCCCACGTGCCTGCATCCCACGTGCCTGCATCCCACGTGCCTGCACCCCACGTGCCTGCATCCCACGTGCCTGCATCCCACGTGCCTGCATCCCACGTGCCTGCATCCCACGTGCCTGCATCCCCCGTGCCTGCATCCCACGTGCCTGCACCCCACGTGCCTGCATCCCACATGCCTGCATCCCACGTGCCTGCATCCCCCGTGCCTGCATCCCCCATGCCTGCATCCCCCGTGCCTGCATCCCACGTGCCTGCATCCCAGGGACGTGTTCAACAACAGTCTGAGCGGGGGCTTGGACGTGGTGGCGCAGATGATATGGCTCACTGACATGTCAGCGCCTAGCCTCCTCCCCGCCTCACCTTCCTCATTGTTGCCCCCACCTTGCTGGGTCTCCCCATCCCTCCTTGCTGGGTCTCCCCATCCCTCCTTGCTCGGCCTCCCCTCCTCTACTTGCTCGGCCTCCCCTCCTTTACTTGCTCCGCCTCCCCTCCTCTACTTGCTCGGCCTCCCCTGCCCTCCCTCACATCGTGTGCTCGCTGCAAGTGGTAACACCTGAGCCCCTCTCTCACTTGTGTGTCCTGCAGAAGCCTCCACACAAACAACTTCTCCGGAGTGCTACCAGCAGCCCTCTCTGCCATCAATGGGCTCACCGCCATGTCAGTGTGCTCCACCTCCCTCTCTCTCTCTCTCTCACTCACTCACTCACCCACTCACTCACCCACTCACTTACCTCACCCACTCACTCACCAACTCACTCATCCACTCACTCACTCACTCACCTTCTCCATGCAGCAACAACTGCTTATCACCAACCTGCGTGCTTGTTGTGGTGTCATGTGTTTGTGGGGCATGCACTGGGAAAAGTGCACATGTGACATGTCTTATCAAGGTTGCACGCGCGTGTGTGCCAAGTTGTTCGCGGACGGCCGGTGCATGAGGGCACGCGGACGTGTTTCTTTCTCCCATGCTCAAATGAATGAATGTGTGTGTGCCTGTGCATTTTTGCGTCCATCTCGTCCTCGTCTCACCACATGTGCCTTGGGCGTGCGGCAGAACCATCGCCAACAACCACTTCACGGGCGAATTTCCGCAGCCTCTTCTGCAGACCCACCACCTTGCTGTACTGTGAGTGAGACACGCACTTACAGTTGTGGACAAAGGTGGGTTGCTTGCAGTGGAATTAACATGTAGAATCATTTCTCTGCTTGACAGCTTTTCCACGCAAATTTTCTTGTGGTGCCACTCCTGAACGCGGCTGTCGCAACCTCTCATATGATGCTGGCAATGGCAATGGCAATGGCAGGGATGTGAGCAAGAACAGCCTTTCTGAATCCATTCCCCTTCAATTGACCGAGCTACTGGAGCTGGTAGACATGTGCGTGGTGCCCCCAAGGATATCCTACATGCTCTTGCCTGTTACTTGACAATGGGGTTCCGATGCTCTTTCGTCAACCAATCCCCACAACCAAGCCTGTTTCTCGTTCGCACCCAGCCTATACAATCACTTGTTTGTTCACTCTTTGGTGTTTTTCATTTTGCGTACATTCAATCGAGTGGAGCAGTTCTTTGATCCCTCCTGTGGGCTCAAGTGTTGCACTCTGTCATCTCTTCTGAGTGACTCGGCCAGCAATCTCAATGACAACAACTTCCATGGGTCAATCCCGTCTGGCCTCTTCCACCTCCCCATGCTTTACTCACTGTGAGTACCTCCATCCATGGCGCCATTGCTTGCACCTGCTACAATACAGATTGCACTAAATAACAGCCTAATGTGAGGTTCGTAAATGCCAAATAGCCTGCAGAGTTCCAACTTGTGTGCCTGCCTTGCCTGCTACTCGTTTCCTATGAGACCTCCTTGTTAATGTTAGCCCTCAATCTCACATTTGTACTTGTACTTTTTATATCCTAGGTTAGTGTAGTTTGCACTTTGTGTTTGGTTGGGTGTACACCCACATCCCAACCAAACCCAAATGTGATCTCCAAGCAATCTCCAACCCACCAATTGAAGATTGCCTTGGGATTACCCACAATTCCCCAGGATTGCCCCCGATTCTCTCCCCACCCTTACCTTGCCCATTTCCAATGCACTTAAAGCGCCTTGAGCTCATTACTAATGTATGGATTCTAAGCTCAAGTTCTAACACTCCTTGCATCTCATCATTCTTCACCTTTGCATTCCCTTCTCAGCTTCCAGTCCGGCTGTGGCTCCTAATGTATGCAAGGAAACACCACTTTCCTCTGTCTCCCTTCCTGTCTAATGCAGGCAAGTGGCAAACAACTCTCTTTCCGGGAACCTTCCAGTGACGCTTAAAGCCTCCTCTACACTTGCCACGCTGTAAGCAGCGCCACCACTGGCTGTGCTGCCACCACTCGCTGTGCTGCCCCCACTCGCTGTGCTGCCCCCACTCGCTGTGCTGCCCCCACTCGCTGTGCTGCCCCCACTCGCTGTGCTGCCACCATTGCTGCACTCTCCGTGCTCATCGTCCCTGGAGTGGAGTTTGCCTACCTTTCGTTGCACCGTGTGCAGTAGCTTTGCAGGAAACGGCTTCACGGGCTCCTTGCCAGACTTCTCACTGTGGAAGGGCAGCTTTGAAAGGCTGTAAGCTTCTTGCTCTCCCTCTCCCCCCCTTTAACCCCCCTTCCTCCCCCCACTCTTCCACCTTTCCTGCATCAATCCCCTCTCAGTTGTTTCTTGACGAATCTGCGTTCCTCCCGGGTGGCCATCTTTCCGATCTCTGGCACGTGTCTTGCCTCTATCACGTCTCTTGGGCTTGTGGGTGCAATGCCTGGTGAGAGCTGTTCCTCGTGCAGGGAGCTGAGCCACAACAACTTCACAGGGCCCATTCCTGACTCCATCTCCACGCTCTCCACTCTGCAGGCCATGTGAGCCTCGTCTGCTGTTGCGCCCTCACCACATGCCCCTCACCACATGCACCTCAGCACACGCCCTTCACAACATGCCCCTTACCAAATGCCCCCCTCACCACATGCCCCTCACCACATGCCCCTCACCACATGCCCCTGATCATATTTCCACCTGCATTTGCGGAGTGTCGTCTTCTCACCCAGAGTAGTTCAGGGAGAAAGCTGGCAGGGCCAGGCTAGCACCTAGCAGCTTTTATAATTTATATAATATAGCATGCGAACACTTGTGACTGTACACCAAGTGTGGTGTACAGTTGGGCTGGTTCACACTCTAGTTTTGGGTGTAGTGCGGGTAGACACCCTAATTGGGGTGAACCCAAGTATCCTAGCTTAAACTTGGTTCCAACCTTGTTGGCCAAGTGGGGGTGTCAAACCATCATTGTCCCATGTGATGGGGCAACCAACTTTGGTTGGTTGGCCACCACCCCACTAGGGTTGGTTGGATGGTCCTTCCTCCCACTAGGCTACTTGGTCTTGGTGTCTTATGTGCTAGGTTTGGTGTTCTTCTCCAACCTTCTCTTCCTTGTATAACCTTCTGCTCTCTTGAGCTAATATTAACCATTCTTCCTCAAGTTTCTAAAGCTCCTAAATTCTTTCAGCAGCAGCCGGTGCCTCATGGGCTCTACCCTTGCCATACCTCGTGCGCTCTGCCCTTGCCATGCCTCTGCTATGCAGCATCCTCGACAGCAACCAACTGATCGGGACCATTCCAGCTGCCATCTTCAACATGACGAACCTACAATCTCTGTGAGCCTTGAGTGCCCCTAGTGTTTTAAGGCGAACCTTTGCCCTGTGAGCCTTAACTGCCCTTAGGACCACACTTCTCTCCTGTGCCCACCTGCGCTGCTCTCCCATATGCTGCTCCTGCTCACAACAGTCGCTCCCCTCCATGCTCCCCTCCGTGCTCCCCCCCATGCTCCCCCCCATGGTCCCCTCCATACTTCCCTCCATGCTCTACAGCTACCTGGCCAACAACCGTCTGAGCGGCAGTCTGCCGTCTGCCATCAGTCGCTTGGAGAAGCTCCAACAAATGTGAGGGCCCTCCCTGTCTTCCCTCTCAAGCAGTGAGGGGGAGCGTGTTGCGCAGCAGGGGAGGCAAGGGGATGTGCATAGGAGCATAGTGGGGCCATGGAGGCAAGGGCGTGGGGCAGCATGGTGGAGAGCCAGTGCAGGCTTGGCGTTCCTTCAGTGTAGCGGCTCTCCATGCTTGCAGGCAACCCTGGTGTGCCCCCTCCACTCCCTGATTGTTGCTCACTTCTCCCTTCTCCTCTACCTTGCTCCCTCCCCCGCCCCCGGCACGTGCACCCTTCCATGTCGTGTTGAGCAGTTCTTGATTCTTCTCCTGATGCCTAAATGCGTGCCAAGCTTTCCGCCCTGCCAAACTCACCCATGTTCTGTGCCTACTGCCGTGCCCCACTGCACTTAGCTGCTCCCATGCCCCTGCTTCTGCCCCTGCTTCTGTCCCTGCGTCTGCCCCTGCTTCTGCCCCTGCCTGGCCCCCCGCAGCTGGCTGGACAACAACAGCATCGAGGGCCCTCTGCCATCCACCATCTGCTCGCTGCCCTGGCTGTGGCGCATGTGAGTGGCTGTGGCGCATGTGAGTGGCTGTGGCGCATGTGAGTGGCTGGCTGTGGCGCATGTGAGTGGCTGGCTGTGGCGCATGTGAGTGGCTGTGGCGCATGTGAGTGGCTGGCATATGCTTCTTGGAGTGACAAGTGGGATGTTCTGGCATCGGTCCGGCCAGGAAGAGCGTAGCATTTGGATGAATGCAGCTGTGAGCAGTGCAAAAGCACGGTGTGGAGGGTGTGCTGGAATTGTGGCCAAGTGCAAGCGAGCCCGCCCCAGGTGCGTGAAGCATCCCTAGTGTGCCCAAACCCCACCAGAAGCAGCTGGTGCGAGCAGCAGCTCTGGGAAGAGGAGAACCTCAAGATAGGCAAGGCTTGGTACTGCTGACAAGAATGAGAGCCACTATTCTTGCTCAAATTGTATGTATGGATGTGAGGTGACATGTGCACTTAGCAAGAGTGCCACACAATGCAAATAGGCAGCTCACAACAAACAAGCATATCATGGCATACCCAAGCAAGCAACATGCGCATGTCTGCGCCACAGCTTATCTTGTATCTTGCGTATCTTAGCTTTATCTTGCGTATCTTAGCTTATCTTGTCTTCTTGACTTGTCTCTCTTTTGTTCTATGCGGCTTCGTATGGTGTGACTCGTGGTGGTGCATGGCATGGCATGGCATGTGTTTTTGTATTGGCAGCATGGTGAGCAACAACCATCTCTACGGGCCTCTGCCAGACTGCCTCTTCGACAAGTGCATTAACCAAATGTGAGCCCACCTGCTTACTTCATCCATCCCCACTACTACCAAAGAGTGCTGCGAGGCATGCTGCTCACTGCTGTCAGTGCGGTCAGGTGCAAAGGGCGTTGAATGAACGCGCTGCTGACCGTCAGGTGGGCCTCTCAGCTCGCCCTAGCGAATCATTCCTTCTAGCCCTCGCTTCTGTCATGCTCCCCGCCCCCCTTCTGTCCTCGCAGCGACGTGAGCAACAACAGCCTGTACGGGCGCATCAACCACGACTTCAACAGCATGGTGGCGGACGGGGAGGCCCTCATCAACCTCGCACACAACTTCTTCTACGGAGATGCAGTGCTCTTTGCCGCGGGCTGCCGGGTGTGCCCCGAGGAGATCACCCAGCGCAACCAGCTGCAGCTGGGCGACAGCAGCGTGAGGCTGGCAGGGAAGTGCAGCGACACTGCCTTCTCTGGCCAGCGCGACTACTCGGTGGTGGGGGCAGGCAAGGGCGCCCGCGGGAGTCTCGCAGGCAACTGTCTGACCCTCAAACGGGATGTCAAGTGCCCGTCCAACGCCACTCAGCGCAGCACGGCAGCCTGCCAGGCGTTCTGCAGCATCACGGACAACGGCCCGTGTGATGGCCATGGGGCGTGTGTGCCGCCTGCGCCAGACGCCCAGGCCAACTTCACATGCATGTGCGACGCCGAGTACTCCTCCATGGACCTGGGCAACGGCTCCACCTGCGCCATCCTCAGCTCCACCACCACTGCTGGTGAGGCACCCTCACACATGGACTGCTTACCTGGAAGCTGCAGCCCATGCTGCGCTCACATCTCACCCATGCTGCGCTCACATCTCACCCATGCTGCGCTCACATCTCACCCGTGCTGCCCTTCCTGCCTTTAGTGCATCTCCAACTCCATCTCCTCGACTCCCCACCTTTTTTACCCCACCCTCCCTGCTCCCTCCGTCGTTGCTGTCAACAGGTGTCATCGTAGGCATCACTGTGGGGTGCTTTGCCGGATTCACTCTGCTCACTGCTGTGCTTGCCTGGCTACTGTGGCCCCGTCGACAAAGTAAGACCTCCTACAATGCTCCCATGTCATCCCTCCAATTCTTGCTCCTCTTTCCCGCTCGCCTTGCACTCCTGCCCTGCCCATGCCTGCACTTCAACTCACCTTCCCTGCCAGCCCCACTTCTGCATTCCTTGTGTGCCCACTCGCTCAAACCCTTGCTGAATATGTGTTGCTGCATGGCCTCCCACTGTGCACCTCACCTCACCGTGCTCTGTTGCGGCACAGGGAAGTGGGAGGGGCTGGACCTGTGCGAGCAGTTCACACTGCAGCAGCTCGTGAAGGCCACGGACAACTGGGCGCCTGAGAACTTGCTGGGGCAAGGCGGGTTTGGCACTGTGTACAAGGGGTGCTCGCCGCAGGGGCAGCTGTGGGCAGTGAAGCGCTCCACTGTCATGACCAACGAGTTTGAGACGGAGGTCAGCCCTTGCCTTGCTGCCTCTACACCATTGCTCAAATCCTGCCATTCAGCCATGGCACCGTGGCAATGGGGCTCATTGTGCTCTTTGGAATGCTGATCTGTCTTTGCTTTATTGGAAGCACTGTTAAACTCGGCAACTCGCATATTGCCTTCCTTGTCCACTGTGCTTTGCGGCGCATGCAGGTGCGCGCCATGGCATCGCTGCACCATGTGAATCTGGTGCGCCTGCTGGGCTTCTGCCAGGACCAGAACGTGGAGAAGGGCAAGCAGGAGCAGATCCTCGTGTACGAGTTCGTGGGCAACCGAGACCTGCACCACCACCTCTACAAGACTAAGAGTCAGATGCCCTCGCACCAAGTCACCAAGTCGCCAGCCAAGTGTTCTTTAGCAGAGAATGTCAAAAGCTGCTAACACAGAAACACTCTTCGTGCCTGCCCCTCGTGGTCTTGCTTCCAGATCCTCTCTCGCTGCGCCAAAGGTTGCGCCTGGCGCAAGGAGCAGCGGAGGGCCTGGTGTACCTGCATGGGTTTGCGACGCCCATCATCCACCGCGACATCAAGCCTGCCAACATCCTCGTTACAGCTGACATGCATGCCAAGGTCGCAGATTTTGGGCTGCTGAAGCAGCTCACTCATGGCGATGCTCATGCCACCAGAGTGGCGGGCACGCCCGGCTATGTGGATCCTGACTACAACCGCACCGGCGTCATCACAGCCAAGAGCGATGTCTTCAGGTAAGCTGGAACACTGATGCACGGCCAAGAGCGTGGATGGCGATCTGCCAACTCACAAGATGCTGGAACACTGATGCATTTGACACGTCTGAAATATAATACTTGCAGGAAGGACGGTTCAAAAGTTGCTGATGCACAAACAGACTGTTGCTGGTCGTCATTTTCTCCAGCCGTTTCCATGTCCCCCTGTGCGCCGGCTTGCAGCTTAGGCGTTGTGCTCCTGGAGTTGCTGACTGGAAAGCCACCCTCTTACCATGGATACTCTATTAAGATCTGGGTATGACCATGCTACATTCAATCCTGGCACTGCCCCTTGCACCGCCTTTCCTCCTACCATGCTACCTTGCACCTTTTGCTCTGTACCATAATGTCTTGCTCCTTTTCTTCTTACTGCACTACCTCACGCTTTTTTCCTATTTGTTATGCTGCCGTGCACCGGCCTTTCTCTGTGGTGCAGGTGCAGCAGCGGGTGGATGCATATGAGTTGGACGAGCTCAAGGATAGCAAGCTGCAGGCCAGTGACGAGGCCGTGGTGGACTTTGCTGACCTGGCGCTGGACTGCACAAAGGCGCCGGGCACACGCCGCCCCGACATGAAGGACGTGGCATACCGTCTCCGTGCCCTCATTGACAAGCACTGCCCGGACGAGGAAGAGTGGGAGTGTGGTAGAGAAGGGAGTGCCACCGGAGAGGAGTCGTCTACCACGACATATCCTGCTGGCGGGAGCTCATTGCTGAGCTGGCTGTCACAGGGGTTCTCTTCGGGATACTGAGCCGTCACATGTATGCGCAATACACCGAGACAAAAATGGAATTTAGCCCCTTAGGGGCACATGACCACTTAGTCCAGCAAATAGAGGCATCCACACTTCATTTTTGCTGGGGGGTCAACACGAGGCAAAAGGGCTATACGCCACCTGGACTTGGGTTACATTACGACACTGCGAAGGTTTATTTCCGCCACTGTGAGCGTATAGCAGGCCTCCAGAAGTCCGATAAATTTCTCTGATTTGCCAAGAAAAACTCGGATATTACCGTCATACCCTGGATATAAAACATGTTTTTTTAGGGGGGTGGGCTTATAACCGAGTAAATTTATAAGCGCAGGCGCTAGTAAAATGACATATATTTAGTATTTTCCAACACCAAACTGTAGATCTCCTGCTTGCCTTTTCAATCGAGTCGAAGTAACATGGGGTCTTTCGTGAAATTGCGCGCGCTGGGAGGTATACTCAATCTGACGCACAAGGTGCCCCTGACAGCTCCTGCTGACTGGACTCGCATCCTATGTGTTGAGTGCAATACATGGTTTGCACTGTTGGAAACAATAAGTCCTAAGTGCGCTTCTGTCGTATCAAAATCCAAGGTACCAAGCGAAGCAGTCCCAATCGAAGCATCGAGTCAACCTCGGAGGTTAGGGTAACCGCCTGGAGGTTACGAGAAAGTCAAAGGTCGCTGACCTTTGACTCGACAATTACAGCGCGACAGTTAAGGACACACAACTGACTCGTTACAGAGCAGTTGCCCGAGTCGCGCTATATCGAACCGCAACAGCAATACAGTTATCTATCTATTCCCTGTACTCTTATATAAATCCTTGTATTTGCTTGTTTAATTTAATCAACTTTGCTCTCACACACCAGTGCAAGGTCGGTTCAAATTCTTCACTAAACGCTTCCGCTATTACAACTACTTCACCTAGAGTTATCCCTTGCAAAGATCCTAAGGGGCTATCTCAGCCCAACATGGTATGAGAGCAGACAAGGGAAACTCTACTCTTTTTTCAATATCATTACAAGACATGGCAACAAACAAGGAAAGGAGCTCCCCTAATGGCTCCTCGGGCACTACTCCTACTCCACCGCCAGCCTCTGGCCTGCAGACAGAAGAAGGCACCGCAACAAGACCAAGAGGAACGTCAACCGAGACCCCCATGAACCACCCTTCGGACTTTGACCAGAACATGATGGAGAAATTTTTCTCCTTCATGTCCTTCTACGAACAACACCAGCAGTCGGGACCTGCACAAACACACAACAGCAACAACGGAGCGACACCCATGAGTCTTGATGGGTCGTCATATGCGCGAGGAAACCAGCAGCAGCAACCTACCTTTGCTCCGTACGAGCGCGGGTCAATCAGCTTCGTGCCCCACCCGCAACCTTCACCTGGACAAGAAAGACCACTGGACGCACTTCAAGTTCAGTCGCAGTTTGCACACGTCTTAAAACTGCAAACGTCAAGACCCTTCGACGGCAAAGACTTCTTTACCTGGTCCTTTGAATTCGAGCTGATGATGGAGGGCGCGCAGATACTCGGCTTCTTCGACGGGTCCCTGCAGTATCCAGCCAACGGGACACAATATGAAAAGCAGCAGTATACGTATCAATCAATGATGGCGTATACAATCCTATTGAGGAACGTGACACCAACTCAGCAGCAGAACATTCGCTCTTACCGGACCTTCGGCAACTCGGCGGAGCTCGCGTACAGCCATCTGAAGAACCTGTATCAAGCAACAGACAGTGTAAACCAGAGCAGGTTAATGGCGCAGTTGACGACAGTCGAAATGAAACCAGGAGAAAAAGGACTGGCGTATATCAGCCGATGTCGCGAACTGCGCGACAAGCTGCTTCGATGCGGAGGGTCAATCTCTGAAGACGCCTTCGTGACAGTCATCATTGGTGGGCTTGGTCCTCAGTGGCGCGCCACCAAAGCCATTCTTCGAGCCCACGGAAGAATCTCTGAAGCTGCACTCTGCGCCGAAATACATGCCGAGCAGCAAGATATGGACCTGCAGGAAGAACGACACAGGAAGAAAACGACAGTATCAGAGTTCGCATTCCACACTCAACGACGACACAGCAATTATAACAACCGACAGCAGCAACCGAAGATAGTACCTCCCTTCTGCCACATCTGCAAGACTTCAGGGCACCCGCGCACACACTGCCCGAATCGTCAGCAATCAACGGCACCACAGCGACAACTTCGACCTTCAAGCTCCCAAATGGCTTCAACACAAGCAAGTGCGACGACCACTATTCAAGCTTCAACGACTTCACCCGGACAACCTGCACAAGGAGCAAGAAATATAATCAACTGCATGACGAAGATAACCGATTCATGTACAACCGAATCACCACCACACTACTCACCGGAAGAAGAGCTTGACAACAGAACGCCTCGCCGTGAGCTACTCCAGCCGAATCCAACGTACGCCGCCATCGCTCAAAGTGAACCGTCCGGCCAAGACACCTGGTTCTTGGACAGTTGCTGCGGGCAACACATGTGCTCGTCCGGGCGTTTCGTACAACGCGAACATCGACTCCAACGGGAAGTGATCATCACGGTTGCCAACAACCAAAACCTGCGCACACGAAGACAAGGAGTGGTACAGCTTCAGTCAAGAGAAACAAATGTCATACTGCACATGTCTAAGGTACTCATCGCTGAAGGACTCGGCTACAACTTACTGAGCGTTAGCCAGTTGATGGCGAAAGGAATTCATCTGGAAGCCGACAGCACGACCCAGGAGTTCAAACTTTACCACGGGAGAGGCGGTCTCTACATCGGGAAAGCAGTGCTGAAGAACAACGTCTTCGTCCTCGACTTCGTTCCTGACCTGGGCACTGCAGACAGCGACGCCATCGTGAATTTCACTGACTGGACACACCCTCCGGATCTCGACCCCGACTTCAGCCCAGGAGGCTTCTGGTACTCGCACACCATTCCTGAAGCAGAACGAACACGAGCATTAGCAACAATTCGACAATCGGCAGCAGTAACAACATCGGCAGCAGCAACAACATCAGCAGCAGTAACAACATCGGCAGCAGCAACAACATCGGCAGCAGCAACAACATCAGCAGCAGCAGGAACAACGACACCAGTCACAGTCGACGAAGCACCACCAACACCCGCGAAACAGCTGAATCCGACTCAACGTGAAGTCCACCGAAGCGCCAACCTCGTCGCCAGCTTTTACTCCAACTCCGACGCATATCAGCGTTCACCTGGACACCGCGCCTCTGAAGAGATCTGGCACGCACGAACAGGACATCCAAGCAACACGGTTTTGAATAACACGATAAGAGCAGGAGTCCTTGACAAAGATTCTCTACTTCTACCCGATGGCAGAGAACTCCAGAAGGCACGAGGGACTTGCCTTATATGTCCCGAAGCTGACTTACCTCATCGACCGTTTGCTTCACATCACAACCCGAGCGCTCCAGCGTACGCACCACTCGAAAAAGTCTACAGCGACATCCTCTACAATCGCGAGCCAGGACAAGTCAACTACAACTACACCATCACCTTCATCGACGCCGCCACTCGATACGTTTGGCATCGCAACCTACCCAGCCGCGACATGGCGCTCGCAGCATTCGCCGCCTGGCTACCGATAGCAGAGAGAGAGTCTGGAACACAACTGAAAAATTTCCAGTCAGACGGAGGTGGCGAGTACACCTCTCACCGCTTCAAGCAGTTCTTGGCGGAAAGGGGGATCAAGCAACTCCTCTCCCTTCCCTACGCACATCAGCAGCAAGGTGTTGCAGAACGACTGAACAGGACCCTGCAGAACAGCATGCGCAAACTATTACGTGGCATGCGGCTACCCAACCACCAGTGGCCAGCAGCAATGGACCACGCTGTCATGCTACACAACTTGTTGTCGTCGTCGTCACTCCCGAACAACGCATCACCGCATCTGCTGTGGACAGGGAAGCAGGGCAGCACGAAAATGTTACGAGTTTTCGGGTGCATGGTACAGTACAGACCCCCAGAAGCACGAGCGGGAAGATTTTCGCAACGGGCACAGTGGGGACTACACCTCGGCATCGAGAAAAATTACAACGCATGGAAAATCTTCGACGTCCACACAAAGGAAACAGTAGCAGCACGTGACGTGATCTTCTACGAAAGACTCACCCTTCAGACGTACCTCGCCAACTTGCACGAGAATCGGGACCTCACCAGTGGTTTTCGTGGTGACCGAGCCTTCGCGTCAGCAGCGGACGAAGCAGACTGGGATGAACAGAACGTCGACAACGCCTCAGAAGAAGCCGGACCTCTCCCATACTGCTCCGTCGACGTGCCCATGGATGAGGATAATCCTCGCGACAGTAACAACGCCGAAATCTTCTACCGCTTCGCCGACGATGGTTACGTAACACCTGTGACAGTCAACACCAACGAAGCAGAAAGGGTAGGGCCAAATTTCATGCCCGACCCAGAAACGGGAGACGAAGCAGCTTATCCCGAGGATCCAGAACTCCCTCGATACTCACAGACTGGGCTGCAAATCCTCGGCCTCGTCACCGCAGTCCACGGGAACACACGCAGCTCGCTTCCTAAGGAGCCTGCAACGGTTCAGCAGGCTCTGGGGGGGGAACACAGGGAGAAATGGCGTGAAGCCATGGATAGAGAACTGAAGGCATTAGAGGAACGCAACACTTGGAAGGTTGTTCCCGTAAGCGTGGCACGGAACAAAACCATCCTTACCGGGAAATGGGTCTTCCGCATCAAGACGAAAGCAGACGGCACGATCGAAAAATTCAAAGCACGCTGGGTCGTACGTGGATTCGACCAAGAGCAAGGACGAGACTTCACCGAGACCTTTGCTCCAGTCAGCCGCCACACGTCACTCCGAATTCTCCTCGCCATTGCCGCCATGAAGAAGAAGAAGTTACGGCAGATCGACGTCGCGAATGCCTTCCTCTACGCACCTGTGGATGCAGAAATCTACGTCGAGCTCCCGCACGGTTCCCAC